TATCACATACATTCTAATGGTGGACTTGGCTTCCTTTGCTTTTGCATTTGTGCCAGCAGGTTACTAAGGGCTTAGCAGGTATATCTGTCCGGCATATAATGGTAAATCCCCATCTAAAGGCTTTGAATACAGAACTTAAGTGCCTGTTTTACTGCACCTAGGAGCTATTAAAAATTCTGCTTGTCTAGCCCTTCTGTAAGCATAAGATGAATAAATATACAAAAAGGAAAAACCTGGTAGCCCTCTAGGAAGGGTGGTCTGGGTGCAGATGATCAAGCAAAGTTTCTCCTACTTTAATAGCCTTTAAAGGCTTAGAAAGTGTGTTTTTTGTAAAGAAAACAAAATGGCCTCCATTTAAAGAACCAGATGGAAGTCGCATTAGGCTTTTTATACGGTTCTAAACAGCTATAAAACCTGCCTTACATCAGAAAAGTCCAGCAGGATCTAGGAAGAAAAACTACCTGGCTTCAGAACCTGTCTTCTCTGAAATTCTTGCTTTATCGCCATTGTCCAACCATACTTGATTTTTTCTAGTATTCTAGGAAATTAACTCCACACAGCTGAGCCAGACCTCACCCCTTGCCTATCTCAACCAGAGGAAGGCAGCTAAGTTCCTGATTTTTAAGGAGGGAACATTTTCCCAGAAAGCTTTGTTTTTAGCCTTGCTTGGCCTACAACCTTAGGCCCAGCTCCATGTCCCCCACCCCCCAACCCAAAAAGAACTATATCCCAGTTTGCAAAAGCAAGGAAACAAGTAATAAAAATCCTCGCACTGTAAAACGTCATCAAAAAGTGAAAGATCACGACACTTATTTTTAAACAGATTCACCATACCCAATCCAGCTATTAACTCTCCGACTACACTTCCAACTCAAGCACCCTCATCCCCTCTTCAGATCCCAAGCCTAATACTACCCTCTTCTACCATAATTTCCCACTCTTCTCAGCTGTTAATCACTTACTAACAAGTATCAAGTTCCAATCCCCCTAAATCCTATCAAACTTTGGTTAATAACTCAACCTGACAGTAAGCCCCAGGAGAAAAAGAAGGCTATATATACAAACGTGCTACAGAAGACAATACGTTTATTAGGTATCAGAATTACTTTGACAACAGGCAGACTCAAGAATCCAAAGAAGTATCCATTAAACCTTGGAGGCTTCCCTTGGTGCGGGTATATATTCCTTTGACTTCAGGAAATGGAATACAATTTAGTTACACCTGCAATTACAGGATACCACTCTAGTATTTCAAAGGATTACTGAGTTTCCAAGTAATTGTAGGGCTTGAGAATGACTCTCCTCAACTATGCTATAAAATTGTTGCTATGTAAATCTTTCTTGTTCATTACAGGGGCAACACAAAAACCTTGATGTTTATGCAACCTTAGTGGATTAAAACATTTTAAATGTTAGGACAAGCAATGTAAAATGACCTCCAAACTAAAACTAAGGCAGAAAGCATTTTAGGTAAGCAGAATGCTATTAACCATTGTGGAACTTGAAAGCAGGTCAATCATATGCCACCGATTCATTTGTTGAAGAATAAGAACCACAATGATTCTTCCTACTCCTCTTATACTTCCAAACTAATTAACTTCCTAATTCCAAACACTCAATGACTTATTTGTACTTATCCTCAATGCTTTTCTGTGATTTATTATCATTAGCTATGAAATACCATCAACCTTGTTCATCCACATATGTGTGTGGTTCTCCCCTCACTATCTCAACCCTGAAAATTTTCTTGGCCCCATTCTAAAAATATGCCCTCAAATCTTTCCAAGGTCTCAAAATTTTCTCTTTTGTACATACTCACATTATGGCAATAAAGACCACACAGTAGATAGTTAAATAGAAAATAGTGGGTTATGCCTCCTTCAGCACAGCATTTTGCTACCATAGAGCTGCAGAACTGAAATTAGCTGGATTGTGAAGGAAAAGTGTCACTGCTCCCCTGAAAGTCTCCTGAGGTCTCAGACAAATATGCTGTTTCAAGTGCTCCAAATGCCTTCAAACTCCTAGAAGCAGCAAAGGTGCAGATGTTCAAGCCCATCAAAGTGCTTCAGAAGTGACCATCAAAAGAAAAGGAATATTTTTTGAACCACTCATGAAACATTTGCATCCTCCAGCAGAGTGCATAGGGAGATGCTTGGCTCTCCAGAATGCCACAGGACCCCATGCCCCCAACACCCTGCAAATCAAAATTTGAAGTGTTCCAAGTTGGAGCACTTTGAATGAATGTTTGGCCACGTCCTGAGATTTCCAAGCAGTGACTGAATCCCACATTACTTGGGGTACGTAAAAATCCCAGCTCAAGATGATAGATCTACCATTCTGTCAGCTGGAAAGTGTAAATACAAGGGTTGTGGTACAAAACTGAGAGGGGTGTTAAATTTCCCATCTTACAGAATGCAATTTAAAGTGACCTGTGTATTAATAAAAGAGTGCAGTACCAGAACAACAACAACAAAGTTAAGTTTCAACTGAAAGCAGGCAGCTCAATTAGTGTTGTTAAGCTGATAAACTCTGTCAATTAGGTTTTAGACAGCAGCTAATAAGGATAATTTATACTGTCAGTAACACAGCATACAGGCCCAGAGTAAAGACCAATTTTACAGCAGAAGAACAATAAGTAGCCAAGCAACAAAATCATTTAACTCTATCACCTAAATGAATTTTCGTCTCTCAGAAAACGTAAGCTGATTCAGAGCTGGGTGCATAAGAGGCGAGAGAACACAAAAAAGAATAGGTATATATTCAGGCTCCTGCTCCATTTCAGAATAGTAGTTTATGGATGGCCTGACCAGGACAGCTTTAACAAGAAGCGTGTCTGAAGGAGGTCAGAACTAGTGTGCCTGAAAACTGCTTCACCAATGCCCCAAGCTTTGGTCTATGTCAGGGTTTGGCAACATACAGCCTGTGGGCTGGATCCAGCCTGATAAGCCACTGGATCTGGCCCATGCAGCTGAAGGGCTTTGCCTTCTTCTGCATCACTACCATCACTTCTCCCAGCTCCCACCCTAGTCCCTGGCTAGCTCAGATTCAGGCCAGTGGGAGCTGCATCAGGGCAGGGAGCTATAA